CGAATAAATACTTGCAATGCTAGATAAGACATCAGGAAGGGAAGTCCAGGTAGAATTGTAAAAGATGCAATAATCCTTCGATAAATAGGGACTGTCAATTTGAACTGCATGCAAAACTCCTCCTTGGGCACTTATCTATTATTAGAAGAAGAAAAACAATATTTAAAAAGTATTCTTTTTTTAATTGTTAGGAAGTAACAAGAATCACACGAGGCCATATATACATTCACAGAGTTTTAAAAATTGAACATTGTTTAAAGTTTGAACTAAGAAAGCTGACTTCAGTAAGGCCTCCCCCAGTTTCAAAACTGTTTATGCAATGAACTCAATTATTTGACTCAACTTTCTTTTTAAAAAAATCAAAGTTCCATAGAAATCGTTCTTTGTTAAACCAACCAAAACTTTGCAACAGTTTTTTAAGCTTTTGAGTTTCTTCCAACCCTTTCTCAGCCAGAATGACAGTTTTTCAAACATTTTCATTCCACAACTCAGCAAGATTGTAGGTTGAACTGCTGGACATGTTCACATGATGTGGTTCCCCTAACTAATTTTAGATTAAGCAAGAGCATTTCATAGATGGTAGGGGATTTCATTTAATTTTAAATGGGATCATTCTTCCTCTAGAAGAATTTAGAATTAACCGATTCTGACGTTTTGTTGCTGTTTGGTAAACATCACTGCTTACCAATAATGTAGTATCTGTTTTGTTCATCTGTTCCTGTTGTTCACAGCCTTGGAAATATGTAATGAAAAACACTCTTTAGAGGAGACGTTAGATGCTGATTGGCTGAGTCATCAGAATCCCAGAAAGTGACTCAGATTGTGGCTCAGGAGGGATTTTTAACCACAATGTTTTTTTCTGTCCATCCTTTAAACTGAGCTCTACTTATGATGATCTCATGGAAACAGTCACAAAAATTGTTTGCTTCTGTGTTCTGGATTTCTAGGCTGTAGCGCTGATATCTTACTCTTAACTTATTAACCCAAGCATATTAGTTTCTGAGTCCAGACTAGGTTAACCCAAAGCTGTAACCTATTAAAGTGCAATTCTTATACATTAGTTTAAACATTACATTAAGGGAAAAGATATTCAAGCAATTCACAAAAACTTAATGCCTTCCCTTATGAAATGACGGCTGGAGTTTTGTTTATGCAGTTTGCGACACTCCATGTCCTAACTCCCTTTTTCTCCTGGCATCAAAGCTGATTGATTAAACTGTGTGAATTTTGTTGTCCTGTCCCGATTGTGTGTTTTTTAAGGACTAGACACTTGCTCATCACTATGGTATTGGGTAAGCAGCTATTAATCTGCTAGAAAAGTGTTTCTGAGCAGGATGGCAAATCTGTCGATTTTGCTTTAAACAAAAAACAGGAACTGCAAAGGTTAGGTGTGTTGTGAATAGAAACTGAAAACATTTAGTGTGACAATTATTAAGTTTCATGCTACCTAAAAAAATATCACCAATCTATGCTAGCTACAACTGCATTTGTTCTAATTCATTTATTTATTTCTGTTTATTGTATCCCAGCTTTATTATTTTTACGAATAACTCAAGGTGGCAAAAACATATCCAACACACTTTCTTCCTCCTGTTTTCTCCATAACAACCCTGTGAAGTAAGTTGGGCTGAGAGAGTGAGTGACTGGTCCAAAGTCACCCAGCTGGCTCATGGCTTCCTATTTTCCAGCCTGGTGCCTCTACTACTAGACTAAACTGCTCCATTGATGGAATTAAGCCAGGCATTCGGAAGACCAAAATAGCCACCAACGAAGCTAACCGATAAATGAACAAAATCCGATCGGTTTCAAAGGCAGATCTATTAAAAGACAGATCACAACAACACAAGCTACCATCAGTTGTCACCCAGAGCTCACAGCTCAGGTCACTCAAACAAAGCTACAGCCCACACTAGACAATCTATGTTACCCTTTCTCAGGCATCCACAACTACTTACGGAAAATCCTTGAACCTGAAGGAGATTTTTTAGTTTCCTAGTATGGTTTATGTTGATTGCTTATTCAGTATCCTATGACTATCACTTAAGTGTTGTATCTTATGATTTATGGTGAAGGTATTTTTATGATGAGCATGATCATGATTTATCATTTATAGCTTTTATAGAATAGAATAGAATAGAATAGAATAGAATAGAATAGAATAGAATAGAACAGAATACTTTATTGGCCATGTGTGATTGGACATACAACAAATTTGTCTTGGTGCAAATGCTCTCAGTATACATAAAAGAAAAGATACATTTGTCAAGAGTCAAGAATCATCAGGTACAACACTTAATGATAGTCATAGGGTACAAATAAGCAATCAAAAAAAATTATGTACACTGAGAGCTTAGGCACCGAAGACAAATTCCTTGTGTGTGTCTGATCACACTTGGCCAATAAAAAATTCTACTTGATTGTATTCTACTTTCATAAGCCACAAGGAAACAACAGGAACAGGAATGCCCATCTGGAGAACCCACAGCAAAGCCAGAGATCTACTTTGACCCCCACATCTACACCAACAACACTATCACAGGCCCCAACAACTGCACTCCCAAGATTGCCTCCAGGCGGTCTGCTTCTCAGACGACACAGGTGATCCTTGGGTTACAACCGTAATTGAGCCCAAAACTTATCTTGCTGAGTGAAACATGAGTGGGTCCTGTTTTACGATTGTTCTTGCACCTGTTGCTAAGTGAATCACTGCACTTGTAACTTAGTAAAACACAGTTATTGTTAAGTGAATCTGGTTTCCCCATTCTGGACTTTGCTTGTCAGAAGGTCGCAAAAGGAGACCCTGGGACCACCACCCCAAGACATTGCAACTGTCGTCAACATGAATCAGTGGTCAAGCGTCCAAATTTTAAAATCACGTGAGCCAGGGGATGCTGCCAACGCTCGTCATAAGCGTGGAAAATGGTCCTGAGTCACTTTTTCTTCAAGGCTGTTGTAACTTCAAAACGGTCACTAAAGGAACTAGAGTAGAATAACAGAGTTGGAAGGGACCTGGGAGGTCTTCTAGTCCAACCCCCTGCCTAGGCAGGAAACCCTACACCATTTCAGACAACTTCTTAAAGATCACCCACAACCTCTGGAGGCAAGTTGTTCCACTGATTAATTGTCCTGTCAGGAAATTTCTTCTTAGTTCTAGGTTGCTTCTCTCCTTGATTATTTTCTATCTGTTGCTTCTTGTCCTGCCCTCAGGTGTTTTGGAGAATAGCTTGACCCCCTTTTCTTTTGGGGCAGCCCCTGAGATATTGGAAGACTCCTATCGTGTCACCCCCGTTCTTCTTTTCATCAGAATATAGACATACCCACTATACTATAGCAACCGTTCTTCTTCGTATGTTTTAGCCTCCAGTCCCCCTCATCATCTTTGTTGCTCTTCTCTGCACTCTTTCCTGAGTCTCAACCTCTTTTTTACATCGTGGCGACCAAAACTGGCTTGCAATATTCCAAGTGTGGCCTTACCAAGGCCTTATCAAGTGGTATTAACACTTCATGTGATCTTCTATTCGTCTGTGTTGGCTTTTTTGGCCACTGCTGCACACAGCTGGCTCATACTTAAATGGTTGTCCACTAGGTCCTAGGACAACCTAGTGTTGTAAGTCGAGGGCTACCTGGCCATGGAGGGGGGAGGCAGGGAGGATGTCCAGGGACATTGGGACCCAGTTCCCCAACGTGCCAGCAACTGGGAAGGTAAACAATGGCCTACTACGCAAGCAGCAGGTTGAGGAGGCAGGTTCCAGCGAAGCAAGCAGGAGCAAAGTCGAAGTCCAGCAGCAACTAACAGCTGTTAAAAAAAAAACTTCCGGGACCTGCCTCTCTCTCCTTGCCCATACGCTTAAAATACAGAGGTCTCCAAACTTGGGCAACGTTAAGACTTGGGGACTTCCACTCCCAGAATTCTCCCCAAGACTTAAAAGTTGCCCAGGTTTGGGGAAATCACCCCGGCTTAGAAAGCACCGCCGTCCATTCCTCCGGCAAGCAAGCCCGGGTGTCAAGGCAGAGACCGGCGCGCGTGCGCAAACCCACCCACCCGACCCGGAGCAGCCCTACCTGGCTGGGGTTTTACGGGGTTTCAGAGACCGGGGGGGGGGGTGCACGGGAAGCCCCTTCCCACGTTCTCACTAAGTGGGGGAGGGTGGCACCATCGAAGCTCCCCCCCCACGCCGGTCTTAGGGAGGGGGGGCACCGAGGAGGAGGAGGAGGAGGAGGAGGGAGCACTCTGCTGCTGCCCCTTTGCCCTCTTCCTATGCTCAGAGGCTAAGGGCGGGGGAGTCCCAGGCTAAGGGGCTCGGGGAAAGAGCGCCCAACCGACTCATTGGGCCGTGCAGAGAGAGAGAGAGGGAGAGAGAGACTCGTGGCGCCCGCCGAGGTTTCGCTTCCACCGCCTGGAAAGCCCCGAGCGTGTTGGCTGGAGGGGGAGATCGGCGGGCGCCCAGCCCGAAATCCCCCCCCCCCCCCCCCCCCCCCGGCGAGGGGGTCCCCCTCCCCAGCCCTCCCCCCGGCCCCCGAGCCCTTACCAGCGGCAGGAGGAGGGCCCCGAGCGCGGCCCGCAGCAGCGGCAGCCAGCCGGACCCCATGCCCCGCGCCTGGCTTCCAAGCCGCCCCCGCGGAGGCTCTAGGGCCAGCCGGCCCGCAGCCAACCGTTTTCCACCCCCGCCGGTTCCGCTGCTGCCGCCACCACCGAGCGCGTCTCCTTTCCGGGGCGGCTGCCGGCGCTCGGCACGGCCAGGAGTTCGCCGCCTCTTCTGGGCGGGCTTTCCTCCGGGGTAGAGGCGGCACAGACGCCGGCGGAAAAGCCGGCCCGGAGGAGGAGGAGAGGGGGAGGAGGAGGAGGGAGGAGAGGCGGCGAAGGCGGAGGGCGCTCTCCCACCCCGCCCCGGGCCAAACGCCCGCCTCGCTTCCCGGGGCTTCCGACCCTCCCCGAGCGGCGGTCCTGAGCACCAGCAGGAAGCCTCGGGATGCTGCACAACTGCTGGTTCTTGACCTACAACCACAAGGGAGCCCAACATGTACGCCGCTATGCGAGACAGTTGTTAAGTGAGTTTTGCCCCCGTTTTATTTTTATTTTTTTCTTGCCACGTTTGTTAAGCGAATCGCTTGCCTGGCGGTAGATCCTTGGCAGGCTTCCTGCCCTGTGAGAGATTGGATGATGGACAGATGGACTTTGCTTGTCATAAAGTTGCAAAAGGGGATCACCTGACACCCCCCCCCCCATGCTGCAACCGTCATAAATATGAACCAGTTGTCAAGCATCTGAATCTAAATCACGTGACCATGGGGGGGATGCTGAAAAGGTCGCAAGTGTGAAAAATGGTCACAGGTCGCTTTCAGTGCCGTTGTAACTTTGAGCAGTCACTAAACGGACTGTTGTAAGTCAAGGACTACCTGTACAAGGCTGCCTCGGGACCACTTGGGCAAGATCTTAATTTTAAGCTCCCCAAAATGGTTACTCAGACGTTCCCAGCCTAGGATATTAATTCTTCCTACAAGAGATGGTTTCATTTGCCTTCTCCGCCCCACTTGCCAGCCATGTGGCTGCCATTAAAATCTCTGCCTTCTGAGCCATGAAGGGCTGCTGGCTTGGCTGCCTGCTATTTTGGCTTGTTGACACACTGGGAGGTTGCTGAATTCACGGCCCGCTCTTGCAGGCAATCACAACAGCTCTCCTTTTGTTCAAGACCTGACTCGCTGCCCAGCAAGGCCCCGACCGCTACAGGGAGGAATCGCAAGCCGATTTATTTTTGGTAGGAGAGAAATTGTCAGCTGTAGGAAGTGAGCACATGACTAGCCTGCTCCTGAAATGTAGACTAAATTATGACATTTAAGGCGGCCGTTCAGATGGGTTAGGTAACATTCAGTCACAAGTGGAATCAATGGGGCTTGTGATAGTTAGCGAGCATTAACAAGTGCAGGTTAAACAATGAAGCTACATGGAGCAACTTTTGAACTACTTAAACAGCTGGTGCTTAATTTGTGTCTAAGAAAGTTAACGAGTTCTGGTGTATTCTAATAAAACTTAATTGGCTCTCCCCACATAGTATTTACCATGCTGTCGTTTTGTCCTATTCTCCCCCCTAGAGAGAGCACTCTGCCAGTTTCAGCCATGTTTTGCAATGCAGTCAACAACACTGAATCCTTTATAGGAAACAATATTGAGACATTACTGTAAATAACAAAGGAACAGCACTTGCACTGCGGCTCACTTTAAAGCAGCCTTTTAAAATTGAAGGCCAAACTGAATTTTCAAAAGTGTTTAATTCATCTCTAGCACCTGATCTATATTATTTAATTCCGTTTGTATTACATTCACTGCTTCAAGCACCTTCCAATCAGTAATGCGAACCTTAAGACTCAATAGTTTTGCACTCAATAGTTTGACATATTAACAGTCAAGAACAAGAATGAACATAACAAGAATTGTCAAATACTTGATCTTTTTTTATAAGAGTACAGACGCCTTCTGCAGAAGAAATGCTATTCTGAATAATATTCACACAAACATTTTACTAAGAGCAAGTTACTTAAAACTGAACACAGGTCTACTGGTTAAAAATGCCAATTTTAAAACTTGAAGCGCTCTACAGTAAAATGAGTGACCATGATCTATTTAAAGCAAATTTATTTTCCAATAATAAAGGGTCCATTAAATCTAGGACTTCAGCCTTCTGCTTTCACTTCATGCAGCTGAAATGGAGTTGAGATAACATATACATATTTGGACATATCAGAAGAATGCTTCAGTTCTGTTCTACAAATACCTTTTGTCTCATGAACTAAAATTTGACCACTACAATTTAAATTATAGTTCATAGATACTATACTACAGTTTCAGGTAAGAATTAATACAAGAAATTGATTGAATTTGATTCAGATAAATGTTTCTGGATCCATTTGGGTCAGAACTCAGTAAATTCCGAGTGTGCATTCATCTTCCAATAGTAGAAGAGAAAATACAGCTAAGCAACACTGTGTATATAAAACAAGTCTTGAATTTTAGAACAGATGCAACCACTGTTAAGATTTTCATCACACCTTACATATTCTGCAGTTCCCAGTAGTAGCAAGAATTCCATCCCACAGTCGAATAACGTTATTATTCTTCACCTAATCCTTTTATCTGACAACACATTCACAAAGCTTTTCAGGTCATCTAGTATGGCCGTGATGCGAAACCTGTTTCAGATATTCAGTTTTTGTCATAAGGAAGTAGAGCTTAAGGCATAGCATGGGCTCCCTCTCATAGCCCAAGAAATACATTAACAGAACAGAACAAACCTTTTATTCTCATTTTTGTTGAGGGTCAGCGAAAAGCTATTTAATTTTAAAGTCAAAAACAAGCTTTAAACTACTTAAATGTCTTCTTGAGCATTTTTTTTCCCAGAAAAATTACACCGGTTAAATAATTCTTACCTAAAATCAGACTGAAGACCATTTTCCCAAGATAGGTAGAATTCTCTTTAGGAGTTAGTTTTATAGAAATCAGAACTGAACAGAATATTAACCTTGCTTCTTTATCATCCTCACAGAATTTAAAACCCCAAGATTTATAGTTAGGAAAGAGCCATGAATTAAAACTGTAGTTACAGTTACAGTACATGTAGTACTTTAAATACTATATTTAGCACAGATTTCAAACATGGCGCTGTCTATTAACATTAACACAGCTTTACAGTTTTGTAATCAGATCCCCAGTATGTACAGACTGTAACAAAATAAAATTGTGTTATTTTAGCAGTTTACAACCCACGTACAAATAGTAATGAATAAACTTACATATAAAGCTTTCTATCTAAAGAGATTAGTTAATTACTTGGACCCCTAATATTCATTGAATTGTTGCTGTAGCCTCCTTTGGAATTCATCCGTTCCTGAATATGCCCTACCTGGAAAAAGCATAAAATTATGAAAGGCTGATTAGTGCTATTAACTAATTATTAGTGCTATTAACATTATAAGGCATAATTTGCACCTTAAAATATTTTCACCATGTTTTTTGTAATTAGTAATGGGTCTAATATTAAGATTTACTTAATTTTCTCCAACTCTAAAATCTCAGATATAAGTTTCATTACACATTTTAGTCATAAATAATGGTTTATGACAACCACACATTTCCTTTAATGCATGTTTACCCAGAAAATTATTAGCAGGAATGTATTGAAAGGGTAACTGTGCAAGGGAAGTCACATACCTTTAAGTGAAGTGAGATTTTTGGAAACATGGATGCATCACACAAATATTTAGAGATATTAGTGTAAGAAAAATGGTCTTTCTTCCCACCCCCTTACCCCCAATATTAGTCACTTATTCTACTTTCATATATTCAGTGTTCTTTTATGTGGTCCAATCTAATTTTGGATATAAGTAATATACTGAAGCTGTAATAAAGTAGACATAGGTTTACTATATCTTGTAAGTCATACCTAAACATCAATAAAGAATCCAAATATAGCACTTTGTTGCTTCTCTCCCTAAGATACTTACTGATGGAGGGTTGTTGGTCATCTCTTTTGTTCCAAAATGAGTGATGTGAACAAAGTTCATTGGCTCTCCTATCATTTTTCGGTCGAGTCTCTTCTTTAGAGAACAGAGAAACATTACGTCAATCTTTGCTACATATTTTATAATTTAAGACATAATTATTCTGTTACAATTAGTCGCCCATACTTACTTCAGCAATGACTTATGACTAGCTAGACAACATATTTAATACAATGTTATCCTGCCCTTTCCAGAGTTAAGCTTATAATTTTTTTCCTGATAACAAAGGGAAAAATTTAGGTTCCTCGTAACAATGACTACAAAACCCAGTGATGTCTGACTAGAGGGGGAAAATATACCAGGTCTCTGATTTTTATAGTAGTATTTTATTTCAAATTTCCTATTCAATATTTTGATTCCCGCCCCCCTCTATAGCCAAGCTCTGTGTTATAAAGTCTGCCATAAAATAGCATCGAATTTAATACCAATATAAAACGGCTGGAGCTTAACTAGTCAGTCTTCTAGTTAAGTTTTAAGATATTTCAAAATTAAATTGCATTTTTATTGAAATCTGTACCATGTATGATGATTTGAGTATGCTGCCTTGGATTGCTCTCTGAAATACAGCATGTATATTTTTAAGTAAAACAAACTCACTGTTTGAGGCTGATCTCCAATGCAACAGTTAAAACAAACCAGGAACTCTGTCATTATAGCACACAATAATAGCTTCTAGAATAAAAAATTAAAGCAATTGTCATAGTTAGGGAACATGCTATTGATATTTTTTGCAATAAATTATTTTATTATAGAATGATTGAACATTACTTATCCTACCCCATCATACTCAATTTTGCCTGAAATAATATGCCATTTAATTTTTTTTCCCTACCTGTATGCCTGAACAAATGAAAAACACAGCTGCAACAGTTACAATATTTAAGAAAGTTTGTAAAAAAAAATATAAATATCAGTATCAGCTATATACAGGTATATGAAAGTAGGATAAAACTTGCTTTCTGAAGACACAAAGCAAAACTTGAATATTTTTAAATTTCATGATTGTGATCATGTAATCACCATTTACGATATACTGATAGCAAAAATAGATTACTTCTACAGATTCATACCAAAGCTAGTGACTGTACTAATTCCTGCAACATGTATTAATATAGTTTGTGGCTTAGACTACTAATAAAGTCAATCTTTGTAGATAAACCACAAATTGTGATTAAGCAGATGAACTAGCCTATTATTTATTAACTCAAACATAATAAAGCAAACTATACCTCAGAGTACTATAAAGGTAGTCAGGCTTCATAGTAACTTACAATATTCTATGATTAAAATACTTATTAAACTATTTTTTACATGGTTATTCAATACAGATATAAGTTCTCTTATGCTGATTGTATAACAAACATGTAGCTATTAAAGCCTGTCCTGGATAAGGTTCAAACTTGATTCTAGTAACTAATTATTTCAAAACAATAATACAAGTCTTTTCAATCAAATTATACTAAGCCACAGTTGTAACAGTTAAGCATAATATAAAAAACAAAGTTGCAACTTTCTTAAAAAAGCTGTTTTTGTGCTATTAATCCCAAAGACACATCCACATTTTATATCCAGAGTCTATTATTACCTCTATTTTATATAATACAATAACATATATTACAACACACACAATGGGAGATTAAGAACTCACAACACTTGAAGTGTACCACTTCTCTAAACATTAATGTTCTTAAAACAAAGGCTACCCAGCAATCCCTGCTCTTATACAAGCCCCAAATTATCCAATTACCACTGTTACATCTTCCCTTGAACAATTGCTCTCTGGATTTTCACAGCTGATTATGCCTAACCTTGTATCAACACTGTTGAAACATCACTGTTTCTGGTGAATTCAGAATACCACCTACCTATCATCAGTTTTGAAAATATATAAACACAGAAATATTTTCTACTCTAAAGACTGATTATATGAATTTCCTTTTGCTTTTAATAGTTACCTGCAAATCAGAACTCAGCAGATCAAGATGTTCCAATCACTGAATTACTAATCATCTATGCAGGCCTGATATACATTGCAGGATACTGTTTATTAAATCTGTCTTTCATAAACAGTATTTTTCTTCTTTATCTCTTCAGGTTATTTGCTGCTGCCTCTTTAGTATCAGTATCATAACCATAACCTTGGTCAGAAGACTCATTTAAAAGAGGTCTTTTCCATGAATCGATAAATTCATCTAATATAAATCACAAACTAATTTGGATTGAGCTACTTTAATTTCCAAGTGTTTTGTTAATTGATAGCAGCAAGAATACCAAAGGAGGTTGTATTGTAAACTGACTCTGATCCATAAAAACCTAGTAGACTGATAAATACCTTAATATCCAAGTTATTGCAGGTATGTTTTGGTTCATGTTTATTCAATCACATTTGTAGTTTACAAAGTTTAATAAGTACTATAGAGTTCTGGAGAAGACACAGAACAAATCCAGAAGACAATTGGCCTTGATACACTTTTATGTGCTTATTTTGCACATAACCAGTCTTTGGCCTGGTTCATGGACACATACTAAACTGCTTAATAAAGTAAACCCAGACTGTCCAGAGGAAGCACAAGTAACAATGCTAAAGTCAGGATTTTGGACACATGATGCAAACACAAGAATTGGAGAAGATGCTGATGTTTGGAAAACTCAATCATTAAGACATGGGAGACCATGTTGAAGATTCAAGAACTCAAAACAAGCAACTAGAGACAATCCTGGCCAAATTATGTCCACAGTGTCCAATAGATGGCAGTAAGGCATTAAAAATCCCTGTATCTTTGATCCCACTTAGTGGCAGCTGGAAGTATGGCAGCCCAGTTCTGGCATTCCTACATTAGGCCAAAATCCAAAAAAACATTATGGCAGTTAACTACTACGTTTTATGGCCAGTAGGTTGTGGAAATAGGTCCAGCAACGTGGATAAGGGTGATACATGAACCTAGGGGCTTTTCCCTCAAAGAAATATGCAATAATGCCTTCGACGGGGCGATAACTAGTGCTTCAGAGTTGGTTTTTTATATTTTTATAGGGAATTCTCTCAAAATTCTTATTTAAAAAAGACCGAACGCAGACAACCACCCTACACCCGAGTAAGATACAACTGGCGAGGAGTCTCCGGGTACCAGAGAGAGAGAGAGAGGGGGGGGGGCGGTCCAACAGCCAAACCGACCAATCGGAGCGAGCCTTGCCTCGTTTCCAGTCCTTTATTGGATGCCAGGACTTTGATAGAAAGAAAAACAAAAATCCGGCGCTTTGAGGCCCGTCGATTGGCGGGACTTGCCGCCAATGAGAGGGCGCCCCAGCGCGTCAGAAGGCGGGCGATGGGGGTGGGAACGGTCCGCGCGGCGATTGCAGCGCCTCCTTTCGTCTTGAGGGCTTGGCGGGAGCGCGATCGGCTTCCAGTCCCTCGTCGCCGTTGTCACCGCCGCTATGGCTCCCCTCGGCAGTTGACGCTCGTGGCTCTTTTTTTTTTCTTTCCCCCCTCCCGGTTCTTCCTTCTCCTCCTCCTCCTCTTCCATCGCCGGGCTCTCCCGCGGAACCCTCTGTGAGGCCAGCGCACTCGCGACACCATGAAAGTCATCCTCGGCATCGGCGGGTGAGGAGAAGGACGGGGGGGAGGGGGGGGCTTGGGCTCGAGGGGCTCTCGCGCCTGCGCAGTGGGGAGGGGTTCCACGTGCGGGGCTCCCATTCCGCCCTGCAGCTGTTGGCGCCGCAGCTGCTGCTTTTTCCCGGGCGGGCGCCGTGATATTCCTGGGTGTCTTTGGTTGTCATCTTCCCGCCCCCGTCTCCAATGTGCATTGTTGCTTTATTTTTATTTTAATAATTGTATTAACTCTCAAGTTGGGGGAGGGTTTTTTTTTTTAAAAAAATGCATTGACTCTCAAGGGAGGGGGGCTTAAAATGCATTTATTCTCAAGGGGGGGAACCCCGCCCTCCCTTTTCCAGGGATGATGTCTAATGCCATCGATAATAAGATGTTGCAACCACTTCGTGTTGGATTTTGAGACCGAATGGACCTTGGAGGTCTTCTAGGCCAGGGGTCACCAACCTTTTGGACCTCAGGGACCACCAAACAAAAAAATTTAAATCCCGCGGACCAGAGACCCTGGGGAAATCCCCCAAAAATGTCTGCAGGAAAATTCCCCACCCCATTTTCCTACCTATTGATCATTCTTTATTTGGGATCGCAGGATACCTTCGCCAGCATTCTTGGGGGGACGGGGGAGAGGGGCTGTTGGTTTCATGCAAGGGAAGCAGCAGAAGTAGCAGAAGTCTTTCTTTCTCTGCCCCAAACTCCACCAGAAATGAGTCGTTGGGCTGCCTCAGCCTCTTGGAGCAGGAGGCCTTGCAGGGTCCCAAAGACTCATTTCTGGCAGAGTTTGGGGGAGAGAAAGAAAGACTTTTCCTGCTTTTCTTGTGTGCAGCCAAAAGCAGAAGAAGAAGCGGAAGCCTGTTGGCCAGGCAAGTCGCGTGGAGCAAGTCCCCCCCCCCTTTTCCCCCTCACCTCACTACCTCGTGTTATTCACACTGCAAGTGACGCAAGCCTTGTGTTCCCGCACAGCCTGGATTAATAGCTTTGGGGGTGACATTTCTCTGCGGACCACCAACATTTTCTTGCAGACCACCAGTGGTCCCCAGCCTGCTGGTTGGTGGCCACTGTTCTAGTCCGACCCCCTTGCTCAAGCAGGAGACCCTGTACCATTCCAGACATTTTGAAGAAAGCAGGGTGTGCAGCCAGAGTTTATTCTTTGGCTTATTTTGATCTTCCTCCCCAAGGAAAAGGATTAGAGAGATGGCATGAGAGAGCCTGGTTAGGGGTGTGAATCAGGAGTGGGGAGACCTGATTCTGGTCTGCGTTCAATACTGGAAGCTGGATGGGCCACCCATCTTCATTTCCACCCGTCTTCCAACTTCTCCACCCCGAGTGGAGTTTCTATAGTCTACAAATGTTTTTTGATTCCCTGCATTTGCTGATAATCCATCTTCTGAAATTCCCATTATAGGATCACGAATGGTGGGAAGACCACCTTGACTAACAAACTCACGCAATCGCTGCCCAACTGCAGCGTGGTCCATCAAGATGACTTCTTTAAGGTGGGTCTGGAAAATTAGTTTGTTTGCTTTTCCACCCGGTTTGGTTTTGTCAGGCACCCAAAAGCCATTATAGAATTTCCTCTTCCTGACTGGAATATGTGGATAAAGGATATCTTTGGAAATGGTCTGATGGTTATCCTGTGAGTATATTCTTTGTGATGATCTCTGTACAATCTGCCCATGTAATTGATGGGAACTGCCATGACATTTGCAACAGACAGATCTGAGCTTGGATAACTCCTCAGGATAACTCAAGTCAGAATTTTTCCTGCCCCTTTTGGAGTATCTACCGAATAAACCAATACAGAGGCAATAGATTCCGTTTTTAACAGCAAGAGATTAAGGATTCTGATTGTTTGCTCATAATTCTTTTCAAATGCATATTGGTTTGCTTAGCTTAGAATAAAAGACAAGAGACAGAGAAAATGGCCAGATGGTACAGTAAGAAACCCCTTCTTTTGCTTGCTTTGTACTAAACCCTCTTGGATGTTAGGATGCTTTTTTTAGATGCATAGCGAGCCATAATTTGCCTCCAAATGAATATCTTCAACCTAAGTTTTTGTCCATCTTCGCAGATTGTCTCAATCTTTTCATACGTTTCTCCTATCCTTTTTCATCATATCACTACGCTGAATTCCACGTTTGCAGAATCACGATTAGTGAAACTCTGACATCTTACATCTCTTGTTTTTCACATTTTATGAATTACATTACATGGAGTTTAATGTTTTTCTGTTAAATCTTAAGTATTAGTCTTCCCTTTAATGTGTTTTTGTCATATACTTCTGGAGGGTTGGGACATAAAGGTTTTCTGTAGTTACTGGATAAGATCCTAATATACAGTTGGCATGACTCTATTGTTTTGAAAGTAGAATAGGTGTGCATTTGTTAGTGATGAGATAAAGGGTTAAGTCACTTATCGTTGCCTTGTGACCCTGTATTATGTACGTTATTGAAAGTCCAGCTATCTTTTAATATGAGCGTTGAATTACTAGGGGATTCAGTATAAAAATGGTTTTATCCATCTTGCTCCTCTTAAAATTAGCCTTAGGAAATCTGTGACTAGCTCTGCAGACAGTTTTTGTTCTGTTTCAGCCCCAAGATGAGATACAGGTTGAAGATGGATTTAAACAATACGATGGTAAGTTCTCTCTATATCAATGTAGTTATTTTTTAAAAACCCTTTAGTTCTATCACAGAACTAGTCAATGAACAGGAAGAAGAATAAGAATGCAAGCTTGATCACCTGCTGAGAGCAGGGTATTTTATCTCGTTACACTATTTTGTCTCTCCCTTTGGAGCTAACATTTCTCTTCTTTTGCCTTAAGTTATTAGTGCTTTGGATATGGATGCAATGATGAATACCATCAGTGCCTGGAGAAAAAATCCAGTCAAGTTTGAGCGATCCCACGGCATTAATACACTCGATACTAGCACCATAGAGGAAAATGATGACACCATTCATATTCTTATTGTGGAAGGATTTTTACTTTACACTTACAGGTAACAGACGTCAAGGCAATGACTTCCAATAGTAGAATGTTCTTTAGGTCCTGATATTTTTGGCTGGCGAATAAAAGTTTCAAATATCTTGAGGGCTGTCCCAGCTTTCTGTATCTAATCAAGTACCTGCTAGCACTTGTTTATTCTTAGCAAGTATTTGACAGATAAGGCAACAGGCATGGTGTGAACCGTTTTGATTGTACAATGTACATGAGAGTAGGTGGAGATTAGATAAATTTTACTTGTTCCAGTGCTCTTAGATTATTTATATATAAAGAAGTACGAAGGAGAAGCACTTTCTTGAGGGAATGTTCGGTTGCATTTAACCCATAGCTGATAATCTACTTATTACAGGGCATAAACCAGGAAGAAGAGGTTTAGGGAGATAAAAAATCCGTAGAAGCTTATTTGTAGTGAATGAAGAAGCCATAAAAACACAAGCAAATGAGATATTTCTGAAATAATATAGGTGCAACCTAAAATATTCCAAGATTCTTTGGAGAGGGTAGTGTTTCTCAAACTTGGCAACTTTAGTATGGACTTCAAGTTCCAGAATTCCCCAGCCAGAATGCAAAAACAAATAATGATTTAACATGGTACGTAAGTGCAGTTGTGATTAATGCTGGACGCTGACTGAAGGTGGTTTTGGAAAAAGCATTTAGCGATTTGTAAGAGAATAGATATGTAAATAATTTGAGCTCCGCCAGAGTCCACATGTCTTCCCTTTGGGGAAGGCTTCCTTTTCTGGTGGTGATTTTCCCAGAAGCTTACGGACACGGTTGAAAATACGATAATGCACAAGGTGGGACTTGGCCTAGCCTTGTGCTTTCTTACGTAACAAAACCTGAGAGATTTTCCTACTTTTCAGACCCATGATCGATATTTTTGATGTCCGGTATTTTCTTTCTATTCCTTATGAAGAATGTAAGAGGAGGAGAAGGTAAGTCCATGACATGAGAAGTTGCATTTAGAGGTGGCTATCTAGAAGGACTGAGTGGCTTTAAAAGATCCATATAAACAACCCAAATTCAAATGGTTCTTTTTCTTTCTCTAGTTCAAGGAATTACACCGTCCCAGATCCACCTGGATTATTTGATGGTCATGTCTGGCCCATGTACATCAAACATAAGAAAGTGATGGAAAACCTTAATGTTGATGTTGGTAAGTTCAACTGGGTTTTGGAAGCCCCTTTTGAATTTGATTTTCTTGTATCGCTAAGTCGGATAATTATATTTCAAAATCTAGATCTTTCAGTAACATTCTTGGGGTTGTTTGCAAACATAACACGTTACAAAAAATTATTTGACTTAAAACTATAACAGTTTATAACTAGTTCTGTTTATCATTTACTTTGCATCTCCCCACTGACTGAAAATGAAAAGGATAGAGGGATTGCTTGGGTCAGAAAGAAGAATTTTGCTTAATTGTCTGGACTTTGTTTTTATTTAGTGAAAGTTAGTAGCTGTATAATAGCCATGGTTTTAAAGAAAGCATAGTTCGAATAAGCCGTCATTCACTAAATTTGTAGTAACAAGCTGCAATGTATAGCTTATTTCACCTAATGAAAATACTGAGCTCAGCAAAATAGTTCTTATTGTCAAATGGTGCTTCTTCTATTCCAGTTCATTTGGATGGGACAAAATCAAGGGAGGAACTTTTTGACACCGTTTACAGTCACATCCAGAACAATTTAGAAGAACTGATTCACATGCAGGTATGCATTTTACTTAAAAGCATGGGAGCAAACTCACATGCAACTTATTACATACAAAAAACCCTAGCAACAGGGCTTGTTTGTTTTTGTTTTGTTTTGGAGTGTTGATTACAAATGTAAAAATTCAGTGCTTACTGTTCTATTCAAAGGCTTCCTGATAAAGATGGAATTGTTCTGGACATAGGTCAGTAACAGTGGCTTGGTATGGAATTTGGAAAAGATCAAGGATGTTAGGGATTGGGGAGGGAAGGGAAGGTGCTAGGATTGGGGGACAGAATAAGTTGCGCTGACTGCCTACTCATGAAACCATTCAAGTATACAGTAAGAGAACAGTTCTGTCTTCAGCATCCTAGAAGGGACACAGAAAAGATGGCACTGAGGAGCTGGAATGGGCCATTGGCGATGGGTTGGGAAACTTTAGCTCATAGGATATGTTATGCTTGAAAACTGCTGGGGAGGAGAATTGGACAGAAGGTGACAGCAACCTTTCCCTGCTCATTCCATAAAATAACTTTAGGATCCCTCTGCTTTGTTTCATTTGAAACCGGGAGCACTTAAAATATTCTGTTTTTTTGTTTTACCAAGCTAATTTGAAAGGGTTCACGGAATTTCCACAGTACAGTGGCTTGTTTGGATTTTGAAAACATATTTTCTGGTTTGTGTATACACCTTAAAAACATAGAGTTGTTATGATAAAGATAGTTCTTGCTTACCAACTGGACGTTCAGAGACCATTTGAGATTATACTTCTGATAAAATTTTTCTCTTTACCATGAATTCCTAAACTTCTACTCAAAATGCTGTTGACTTCAATGGAACTAGAACAATAGCTTTGCTATATTTGCAAAGATGTACAACAGCCATTCACCATACTTTTTTTTCTCCCTTCTAACAGCAATAAACAAATGGCTGGGACACTCCTGAGAAGATATTTCTTCAGTAACTGTGTGTAACTGTGTGTGGATGCTGCCTTAAAGGTGATTTTGTATGAATCCCAATTGTAAAGCTCTAAAATCTGGCCTTGATTAAAAGACAACTATTACTTTTTACTGTATCTTTGTGGAATTGTGCTTTTTTTGCTTAATTCAGTCTTCAGAAAGCTGCTTTATATCATGAGAGGCATCCTTTTATTCATTTGGATAGGCCCCTTTGGCAAGTCAGGAAAAGAGGATCTTTTGAGGTCTCCAGCTACTGACTTTTTCAAAGCTGTTCTGTCGGATACTGAAGCAGTCCCTTCTCTTTGCAAAGTTCTTATCTGTTCACAAGCTATGACACTTCACCAGCCATTGAGAAAGGGCTCTATAATTGAGCAGAGACATCGCAGCCGGAAAAGGTCCTGCGTAGGAAACCATGACTAAAACAACGTGAAACGCTAATTCAGTATTGCAAATCCTTCTGTTCATTCTCACAACAGGATAACCATTGTGGCATTCAAATGCGGGCGGTTGGAGTGTTTTCTCTTTAGTAATGAAGAAACGCATGCCTTCTGTTTAAAACAAAGCAAGGGGCTCTTGATGTGTCAGTTAGCAAGAGTTTGTACTTAAAACCCTTGGTCAACAGTTTTTTTTAAAAAAAACATGTAAAGTTCCTGAACAAAGTGAGATAAGTTAATTAAGGTCATTTTAGGTTACACCTCCACAGTGGCAGTTACTGAAGCTTACAGAAGCTAATTCTGTCAATTTGGCATTGCTAAAAATACAGCAGCTGGCTGTGCTTACTGGGCAATACTTCGCTACTTGTAAGTACAGAAATAAGGAAAAACTGTACCTGTATTTTAAGGTGCAGAGGACTCTGAAGGTTGCATTCCTACAGAGAAGTTACATTTTATTAATTTCTGTGAAGAATCTGAATGCTTTTGTTTTAAGCGTTACATAATTTGTAGCTGGCAGAAGATGACTCCAACTATTACTTCAACCCAAGGTGAAATATTTTCCTCACTGGACCTGGGCCACCCCAATATCCCCTGTGAGAAAGGAGGGGAAAAAAGGATTTATTTATACCATCACAGATAATTAAACTTGTTAAATATTTCCTGACATTAAATGTAGCACTATGTCAAGAGTAAACATTGCTGCTCATTATAATAGGATCAAAGGAAGCATGGGAATTGAACATTACAATATAATTTCCGACACTGAAATAAGGAAGTGCTACAAACTATTTTTTCTGGAACAGACTAAGACAAGAACTTCTGGATATTCAGTTGATGTTTACTTTTGAAAACTAGGGGACACCATTGTTTATTTTTGCAGGAAGAGGCCAAAGTTAAAATTGGCACAGGAGGAAATAGGACATTAACAGTTAAAAATTTGCACTGGATGGATGGACTGACCGACTGACTACGGTTCAATCTGTCTCATAGCATTCATATTTTCTTTACCATTATCTAGTTTGTTTTTTTAAATAAGTGGCCCTGCTCAAATTAAGCCTACCTATCTATGCAATTAATAAATGCAGAATTAACTACTTTCCTGGGAGTCAGTTCCCCTTAACCCTTGCATATTATGAATGGTACACTAGAATACTTACTTCAGAAGTCCATACCAATACAGATAGGGCATCATGTTAGCCTTCAGATGAAAACTTATCAATCTCTCTTTACTCTGGTCGAATGGAAATGTTTCTAAAGGCTGAGCATTGTAATCAAACTCAGCCAGGATTGCTCGGTTGTAGTTGGTTATCAGAGGACAGGAAGTATATCCATCATACTACAAAAACATTTTTAAAAATATGCCTTTTAGAACAGGAAAGGGGACAGGAAATGCATATGGTTCTTACATATTATGCTTTAAGGAGCTCCATGCTCCATTAATTTGTCTAATCCCCCTTTAAAGTCATTCAAACTGATAACCCTTCTTAAATTTAAGGTATTGCAGAGTTTAACGTACTGTGTAAAGAAATTATACTTTCTCTTTAATCTCAATTCACTGTCATTAGATGAATCCAGCTACCACAATTAGAAGCCATGGAAAGAAATCCTTGCCATTATTTTGCTATCGACTTTACAATACAGTTTAGAGATGTATATAAAACTTCAGTCTTCAGAGCCTTCCAAATGAGTTAAAAAAATCAGCACATTGCATTGCAAATACGAATGTTCCCCCAACATAATAAAAGCCCATGGTCCCAATGAAAAGCAAATATATTGTTCCTTTTCAGGGAAAGTTACCTTCTTAGTGGGAGTTTTGCCTTTCATGATACATGAAATCGTTTTATCAAGTACACCACACTGGCCAGCTGCGGAAGAGATAAAATGTTTTATTTTGTCTCATATTTCTGCTGAAAAGAAAGCAGAGTTATAATTTTTAAGGTGGCTTAACTCTGACGTCGGTTGCGGGTTTGGGGGATCATGTTGGGAATGTTCCCAAGAGCAGCCAAATTGTGGATAATCACTATAAATGTAGTGATATAAATGTAGTGATAATCACTATAAATGTAGCCATTTATATGACCTATTGACACTGGCTTTGAGGCCCTCTCTTTCCCCCCTATTCCACAGAAAAATCTCTTGTATTGAATCCTAATTGGGATCTCTATGACGATCGAATCAAATACTTTCAGGCACAAGGGGATTTGATTCAACATTTAAAACTGGCTCTTGGCTTGCAACAAGGAAACCAAAATGCAAAATACAGTACCTAAAAATTAATCTCACCTATAGCTGCAGCAGTCTTGGAGGTAGGGAGATTGGTGCAGTCTCCAATCCCAAAAACGTTTGGGTATTTCACGTGTTGCAGGGTCTCCTTGTTTACATCCACCCATCCAGCACCGTCAGAAACTGGACTGTTTAACAGGACGCTGGGAGGCCCCATGGGTGGAGTGACATGAAGCATTTCATACTGGAGCAGAGAAAGAGAAACAAATGACATTCCGATAAGAAGGGAATATTTGTAGCTCAGGGTTGAACTGGTGGTTTTCTTGCAGATGTCTCATTACCAAACAGGTAACATCAACAGTGCCTGATGTTGTTACCTAGTTTGGTAATGAAACGTCTGCAAAAAAACTACCAAGCTAGGGGAGCAACAAGAACCCTCACAAATGAGACGGATCTTTGCAGTCGCAGATTGGATGCAGCCAAATTCCCCAACTGAGATGAAGGTTCCTTATCTAAGGAACAGGTTCTTCCTTCCAGGTTTGGTCCGTCCTTCTACAAAAGCTTACAGGCAATTGTTGCTTAACAGCCGTTTGTTCAGCAATTGTTGGAACCTAACAGCAGTGCTGAACGAGAGGTATGTACCACTGGACAGCAAGAGCACTTAGACTTAGATACCACTTGATGGTGCTTTACAGTCCACTCCAAGCAGTTTACAGAGTCAGCCTCTTGCCTCCCAATAACCTGGGTCTTTACCGTTGGCTCCTTGAAATCACGGCCTTTAGGGGTTCACTTAGAGCTCTTGGCATCCTGGCTGCAGAGAGAAGGCCATAGGCAGTCCGCAGCTGCCTCGTGCAGGGCCAGGCCGAGCATGCGTGGTCAGCAATGGAGGGAAAAATAATGGCGAAGGTCAGCTGGGGGCAGCAAAGGAGAAGGTTGGGCAAAAGGGCAAAAATGAGGGGAAGACAGATGGAGGTGGGGGGGAGTTAAAAGAGAGCGGACAGGAGGCGACTTGTCTTGAACTAACAGCTGCAAAAGGACTACCGAAACTGCCATTGTGAAGTTGTGCAAAGTTTCATCTGATGGCTGCCTTGAATTAAAACCGTTCACCAAGAACTACCTGTAATTTTGGTGCTTCTAACTTAACCACCTAAGGATGGATAACACCGGGTGGGTATGTTTCAAAAAAGGCTCATCCTATTCTCCATCCACGCTGTTTTTTCCCTGCCAGTTCTAAACAAGAGAAGCAACCTAAACCATAAACAGGAAGTTAATAAGTCAAGAGAAATTCGCTGAAAAATTCCATTTGCTCACCCGATAAACTTGCGTTTCACCAGCTTTGTCCAAGTTTTCAAATACGGCTTCTTGCCTGTCTGCTCGGACTTCCACGAGGTTCCATCTGTAGTTCACTGTAATATCTCTTTCTTTGATAATCTCTAGCAGAGCATCAGCATACTTCTTAACACCAAATATCACTCCAAGAGAAGTATTGAATATGATCTTGGCTTTGGACCGTTTTCCAGTCTAGGGAAAATGAGAAGAAAAAAAATGATGCATTCTTGAAAACCCTCGATTTCACCACTCATTCTTGTCTGTACTTTTATATTTTAATCAGTCGAAGAATCATAGGGCTGAAAGGGACTTGGAGGTCCGCTAGAGTAGACCAATCTCCTCCTGCCCAAAGGAAGAATCCTTATCTATTAAGTTGATTAACCATAACTGGGTTTATGTAGCCTGCCCAAAAAGATTTAAGCTAACAATTTTTGAAGAAACCACAGTAAATCATTCACCCAATTTAATAGATGACCAGCATCTATTAAAACACTGTTTAAACTTGCAGTAATGGGATTCATGATACATACCAAAACTACACTGAATCAAAGGTCTCCATTTGATGTCTGCATCAATATATTGGATATGCTTAATTAGTACTATAGTCCTTTGTGCAAATTTAACCAGTTGGTCCTATTGATTTAACAAAATTGCTTGTATGTCTTCAATTGGAGGAGCACTCTAAAACTACCCATATTTTAAGCTTATATTCTAGCTGCAGTTTAAACTAGGATAAGTGCACTTTCAATAACCTGGGTCTTTGGGATTACAACGGTTTTTGTTACCTGTTTAGGCAACCACCCTACTTGTACAGTGGCTGGTACGTACCTTTCTCAAGTACGCCTCTGTCAGATACATGATCTTTTGTGGCGCCCCTGCACATTTCACGGGAGTATTTGGAAAGGTGAAAATGGCATTTCCTTCCTGGAAATCCTGCAGAGCTTTCCATGTTTTCTCCACTGTGTGAACGGAATAATTGGAACCAATTTTAGGAAACTTAAAACCCTCAGGCAGGCCTTTGATCTGTAATAAGACAAAATTAGCAGTATAGTATTTCACTGGATTAAACATGCAGGCTGTTTACAATCAGGAACCCATTTAATTCTTAGCAGCGGTGGTTTT